TGCTCTCATGTGAAAGCTCAAAGACCCAGGGAGTTGATCCTGGCAACGATTTACACAATCTCACCATTTTGGGGGCCAAACAATCTCCTTTTTCAAAAGATACAGTGGGGGGCACTTTTAATGCTAGTGAGCTGGCCAGAAATTCTCACTTGAATTAGTGGTCTGCACCCTTCGGGATAATTCGCAGAATGCCTACGTGGGAGCGAGTTCCTCCAAAAAGTCCGTGCAGTACGTGTCATGGATCTGATGGCGTTCACAGATTTGGTATTCCAGATGTTCGTGTTACTGACCATGAATGACCCTACAACAGAACGTTACCTGGATTTGCCGCAAACCCTCATTCGGATTGTCGTAAATTTCCATGGCATTTATGGACCTTTTCGCTAATAAATTCATAAATATGCACGCATGCGCACAAATGGCCTTGGCGGCAAGAAGTGTGAGCGGGCCATTGAAAATGTACAGGGGTGTGACTTTGATAATCATTTTCTCTCAGGATTTCTGGCTTTGTTCAGTTTTTTCTTTAGAAAATCCCATTAAATCGTTTTTGCTGTTAGTTTCTAACCTGAGCCGGATTTTAAGTGTTCTGCATGTAAAAAGACTTTATAATCGTGATTTTCCCTGTGCGCACGAGACTGCCGTTTCTTAGTATGGCCCCCTTCCATCATAAGTAGTATAGATTACAAAATGTTCTTGGAACCAACCTGTGCATTTGTTAAATTTTTAAAAGTCTTTTTACAGAGCACTAAACACCCGGCTTAGGTTGGAAACTAATAGCAAAAACGATTTTAAGTAATTGGATTTTCCGAAGAAAAAAAACCTGAGAGAAAATGATTTCGTCCTTCTTCGGCCACCTATAGGAAGAATAGGCATATGTAGAGGTTTGCGTGGTGCAGGAAGTAGCAGTGGCAAGTTTGAGGTAGCACAAAATTTAGGAAGCCTCATTGTGTTAATTTTTTTTGTGGTTCTCCGAATGTGCGACGTCAACCTGTCACGGGTTAAGGCAGCTCTTCGAAATGCTGAGTACAATGGTTCTTTCAGAACCGCGCTATTGTATAAAAAAGAGATGATTATTTCAAACACGGGTGCTTTAATCCAAAAAAAAGTTTGATGGGGACAATTTGGGCCAAAAAATTGAGCATAAAATCTTTTGCTGGCATTTATTCATGATATGCTCAATAGAGACTGTTCACTTATTGAACCAAATGTCTATTCGTTAAAATGTGGAAATGTTGCAACCGTGGGTAAATCTTGGGTAAATTTGGTAAAGTATATACATCGCACAAGTTTTGTTGATATTTACCTCGAGGTCGGTAATTTAGGCCTACGTTGTATTTAATCGTTGCGTAATTGAATTAAGAGCGTAACAGTCATGCAAAGGATAAAATATGATTGAAATATATAGTTGCCAAAATATTATGGTAATTTCTACCATGCTACAAAGAATGCCGCAACATGAAGTCGTGCTAAATTGGTACTGAGGTTTGTCGTTTCTGTCCAACTTTTTCTGAGCGTGTACTGAAAACTTGCCCAAACTTCCGTTTCAAATCATTGGTGTAGAACACGAAGAAAACTTGATGAAACCTCAACTATCGGTGGTCCGCTATAGCAAAAACGTAAAGTGTTCAAGACAGCTACATGTCCATGTACATGCAGTACGTGATCACGAACAAGGTATTTATATCAATACCCTGCAATTCATCATGATGGTGACTTCAAGCACACTCACAAATTTGCTTTAAATGGATCATATTTTCCTAGAACAACTAGAAAATGCGTGCGTCGGGTCGCATCGCAACCAACAAATTGAACAGTCCCGACCAATGCCGCTCTTTTTAACCGACGAGTGAGTGTCTGCTCAGGGCGGATAGATGTCTCTCTCTGTACCTCTCTCCGTCTATGAGCTCTGAGCATGAGCTGGACCAAAAGGGGGTGCAATTTTCCTAGCAAACTTTTGGTAGTTACTACGCATCGCTGGTTCACGAACGACTATGAAACACAAGCGTTGCAGTCGCACAGCTACCGACTACAATAAACACTTCCGACTAACATGGCTTCTTTCAACCGATGAAGGGGTGCTTCTGCTCTGGCCGTGGGTAAATGTGTACCTGTGAGGGCAGAGATGGTAGTTGAGTTTGATGAGCCCTTTACACCTGAAAATGGCAGTAGCGAGCACTGTACTCCTCAGGGAACCAAGATGGTCTAATTGGAATGTTTATGGCCCTCTGAGCAGGGGTAATAATGAGGTAGCGCCGTGTGCTCCATCCCGTGCGCTTTATAAATATCCTGTATAATTATAATCCGAACGAAACTTGACCGCTTGCAGAAAGCGATCAACATTAATATTTGATACAAAGATGCACCACGGAGCTGAGGTTTCGTGGGGAAATACCCCTGAGACCACAAATGGCCTCGCATTCCGAACACTGTGAGGCTGATTTACACAAATACACACCACTAACCTCGCGGCATGGTGGGCGAAGCTGTCAAGAGAGAGAACCATCTTGTCCCTGTTCTTGTAAATACCTTCCATCCGCGGAAGGTGTACAAAAAGCTGGGATCATAATAAAAAACGAACCAGTGAGGTCAACACTGCAATGAAAGACACTAACAAAGACGTTTTGATTTATTGTCATTTGGACTGTTGTACCACTCGACATACTTGCGCGGGGCGTCTCCGAGAAAACACACCAACAGTTCTGACCTGCTGAAACCAGAGCTACAATGCTCGCTAGAAACCGCATAAAATTTAGGATAACTCGCTCACGTCCAATGGCAAGGCATATTTATCTGCGTGAAGACAGATGACTTATAAATATCAGGCAGGAAACTAGTATAGGCAAGTTAACTAACCGACTGAAAGACTATTTGGTTTCTTTAGGCACCACCACCTGCCCCTTTATCGAGTTGATTTTTTTGGTATAGCTTTATTTTTTTCATCTGACACACAAAATTTCTCATGCCTTATTGTAAAGGACCATTTTGAGGGAGTTTGCGCTCGAGCAACACGCAAACAGCTGATGTGCCCGACGACTTGGCACTGCCGCTTTTGTGTCAATAGCGGTCATTCAGCTTGTTTTCCCTCTCCCGCAGACCGCGTCGAACTCAAATTTACACGGTATACAGCATGTAAAAGATCTGCCAGCCAGTGATATTTGTTTTGTGTTTTTCCCCTTGATGGGAGAAGAAAAATTAAGCAAACATGTGGAGCATGTAGGCCTGAATGAAACGAGAAAAAGCCGTGAATAATTCAGGGCCACACGTGATCGGATGATAATGATGATCTCCGCCACACATCTCCCCGGTCCAGTCCCCCGCAGGCCAAAAATTGTCAAAACACTGTGTGTATATATTTACCCAAATCGAATCGGCGACGCCACTGATCATGCAAATATGCCTCTCAATGAAAAAGAAAACCTAGAAGAAAACACAATTTAGGCGCTGTGATGGCGCGGGAGCTGTTCCAGCGTGAGGTGCAAGCGAATGGTCCCGACACAGCTGCACTTCAGCTCCATCCACGCTATCTACGCTGAAGTATGAGATTGTCCGATACGCGACCATTGGACTGTACCCCCGGATAAACTAGCTCATTATTGTGCCGGCTTGTCAACGCGAAGCACGGTGAGATTTGCGCGCGGTGCCTTACTGATGTGATGGGCTACGTAGAGATGTCAGCTATTCTTGATGTCTGGGATTTACGGACAGTCCTCATCGGTGTCGTGGTCTTCCTCTCGATGTCATGGGTCCTGCGCCGTCGGCGTCCCCTCGGTAGCAACACTCTGCCCCCGGGGCCCTGGGGTTGGCCCCTCATCGGGAACCTACCATCCCTCGCCTTTGCGTCCGGTGCGGATGAGCCCCACGAAGTCTTCATGCGGATGGCCAAACAGTACGGGCCGATCTTCAGCCTGAATGTCTTGGGCCAGAGGATGGTGGTAGTGCACGGCTACAAAGCAATACGAGAAGCCTTCAACAACCCTTCCTTGAGTGATCGCCCGGAGCTGCATATTCTGCAAAACCTATTTAATGGTGCCGAAGGTTGGTAAACATCACTTCACCCGTCACCGTTTGTCTTATTAATATATTAAAGTTATGGTTAGTGTGACCATAGTTTTGGAGCAAAAAAAAAATGTAATTTTACTATTCTTCTTTTAATTTTGCATTCTGAAGCATCAGGGACATGATTTTTTTTCTCCATCCGACAGTTTCAAAGTGGACAGAGAACAGGTTGTACAATGTGCATTATATCCTCTACTGTTGTTACATTTCGGTTTGAAGAACTTTCCACGCGTGCAGCACACGCACAGTACCGTCGAAGAACAAGGGAAACCGCAGTGAACAGGGGACCCATTTTGTTGTAGGTGCCAAACCAGCCAGTGTGCGTGTGGGTTTTGAAAAATGATTTTATTGTGCAATAATTTTGACACTGAATAGGGCCTTATCCGGTTGGAAAATAGTGAACGGGGCAGCTGGCGTATTAAACAGGTGGTGTCTGTCCTATCGGCTTACACTCATATGTTCAGGATAATAAAGAAACCGGCCGAAAGTGCGGCATTGTTTGGCTGTCCTTACAGCGCTTTTGTGCTGGGCCCTCGTTACAAAAACTGCCACGCAGGTAGGGATTGTGTACCATGAATGCAGGCGGCATGGCGAGGTATTATAAACCGAGTGGGGATATATCCCAAATGATTTATTTTTCCCCATATGCGATACATTGTATACAAAAAAGTAAAAAGTTCACTGCATGACCTTTAAGGTCAGGTGGAACAAACTACTGTGTACTATTTACAAGGTTAATGGTGCACACGTGTCGGAAAGCGGAGACGTTGGGTGCTTGAAGAGATTTTTACACCAGGGACCGACAGTTCTGACTACAGGAGCGCGTTTCCGTGATGTGTAATATCATTGAGCAATAAACTGCACCATGGTAATATTTACTACACATAGTTTAACAAAATACGACTACGTTGCATTGGTTTCCCTGTGAAAAATACTTGGCATACTAAGCACGTACATGTACAGCCTTTGATGAATAAAGTTGTCGCTTAATCAGGACGTCGCACTGACCACTGGTGCCACCGTGCCACATCCTTGCAGACCATGTGGTTTTCATATTTTGTTCTGCTACTCGATCGACCGTCGAGCTTCCAAAGTGCTTGTAACATCCTGCGTAATCTTCCGTTTATGATGTCATTATAGCTGCTGTTACAGAGATATGATGCTTTAAAAAGTGTACCACGTAGCTTATCTGTGAAACATCCTACGGCAGTTCTAAAAGATCTTTAACCTTTCCGAGGATTTGATAATCCATTTACAAACTGAGGGTTGTACTTAACGTGTCAGTGCATGGAAAGTACTGTGTCTTTTGTACTTGAATCTAACACGAACCGCGAAGAACGGCCTGAGTTGGGTGAGCGTACTTTCACAGAGTCTAGCCTACTGCGGGACCAATGTGTACCATATGCAAATTATGTGGAGTTACTCATTCGCAATGACACTATGAAACAAAAAAAAAGGTTGCCGCCAGTCCATTTAGATTTGATGAAACAGGATATTATCTTAGCTGTTTGAAACTCCATGACAACACGCGATCATCGTAGCAGTTGATCAATATTACTTGTATAGCTGCAGCCTTCGATTAGTCAAGCAGGCTGTAATGTCAGCGTATGGTTTTGCGTGTGTCAAAGTTTAATTCATAATTAAGCCTGGAAAAGCGTTTACTTCTCATTTTTAATAAACCAATCGGTTGCCCGTGTAATTGCAGGAAGCTCCCCTCTCTCTGTCCTCGCTCAGATCTCTGACATTGTTAATTTAGGGAGACAGAAAGGCATCGCAAGAACAAGGATGCAATTAAACTTACTGGAATCCGAAATCGGATCCAAGACGTCAATGTGTGGCAATGCATTAGCACAGCAAACGTTCAACATGGGCATGTAGAGGCTAGGTGAAACCAGGGACCCCACAATGCCGTTTCTCGCTTACACGGGAAGGTACCGCTTTTCGCTCAGTGCATAGAAAAATGCCTCTGGTGTACGAATCAACTCATACTGTTTGAAACCGGCCAAAAGTGACAAGACTTCCAAGATCAGCCTTGAACCACGTGATTGTAACTGCCCTGAGAGTATACATTTGCTATTGGAAACGAACCCGAAAAATAATTAACATGAGTCTGTATATATAATTATCTGGCATCTATAAAGTGAATATTCATTACCAAAAACTATGGAGTAGGAAGTATCCAACTTAATGCGTGGCGATCTGGATGTGAATGTATAATGCAAAATAGCAACGCAGTCAGATACTGAATGTGGGTCATGAGTATGGTAGCGAGTGTTCCCCGTCGCTGTCTCCATCGAGGTCGTTGTCACCATGTTCGTTTACTCGGCCTTAAGAATTATTCATCATATGAGAGAAATGGCTTCATCCGTCTAAAGGGGCCTCGATTGTCAGGGTAGGATGCATGCAAGCTGTTATGAAATGATAATGTAACAATGTAGAATAGCTCAATGGGGTCGGGTGGTTCTAAAGGTGCGAGAACGTGCTGGTCATTTTCCCTCATTTTGTGCACTTGTCTCTTTTTAATGAGATATGGAGGAAGTCACGTGTACCCCCAAAGCACTTTCCACCCAACGTCATTTCAAGCAGCGTTGTCCTCGTGTAGGTCCAACGGGACGACGGGGGAAAAAACAGTGCTGTCCGCACCCCAATGTGGCAAAATAGGCTTAAATTCGAATTAGTCGGACTTGAACCCTCTGACTTGTGGAGCCTAGACGTTATTATTATGACACACTCCCACATTGGGTGAGTGGAGACTCGACTTGTGCTTGTCAATAACTCGATTCGAGTTGATGTACGCCCTATGTCATTGCGACATTAAATATTGTATGGACTAGTTCAAGTTCTGGCTGAGTCAGGACTCACACTCGTGTGTGTTTGGGGAATAACCAATTTTTCCGTCTTGGATTCAAGTGAACTTGTCTATTTTTGCTGTTAATCCTACATGACTTGGATTACTGAATTCGGTCGTCCTGCAAAAATGTTTACGAAGTTAAATGTGGTTAATATTTTTTTCGTTGTTTTTTAAACACTAGGCCTGTAGTGTCATGTCCAAACATTTTAGCAATTCGCGGAATTTTTGAAACGTATGTGTTCCATTGCTAATGGACGTACGTGCAGTCCATAATCCACGTACGATAGCTGTGCTAATCTTGGCTAACCGCCCTGTCAAAGGCTTAAACTCGTCCCGGGTCAGGGAATAATACGAAATGATGAAACCAGATGTGGGACGTCGCGCCGATATGATAGCTGACTTAGGGGCAGTTGTTCATACGTGCGATATTTATCCATGCATTGTTGACGATCGCACTTCTTCGTGGTTTCGAAGAAGTGGCCATAATTACTGGGCCACATATTTACCGTTTTCAGGAATACAACGTGGTGTAAAGACACAATAAGGTGATTTCTAGTTTATAATTGTCTCAACTGACTGTGGAAAGAGTTGGACATTTTTTTACTATATACTTACAAAAACATTTACTTTTGTTCTACTGCCTAAAGGCAAAGTCGTTCTGACGACATGTAGGGCCTACAGTTGAGAAAATGTCTGTATAAGTTCTAAACCTGCAGTGTCGTTAATTGTAGTAAAGTTGGTCAATCTGCACACAATGAGGTTTTCTTACGGACCAACTGTCGTGTACTAAATCAATAATTTCCCCCAAACAAAGAAGAAATACCGAGAGTAGAAGCCAAAATGACGAGAAAAACATGCAAAAAGCAGCTGGAGCGCTTAAACACATTGTTTCAGTAATAAAATCACTTCTTTTCTCTTGATTACTGAAACCGACATTGACATAAATAGCATCAAGTCTTAAACTGTGGCACAGTGAGACTACTACAGCCAGGTTCATGTGATTTTAGGGATTAAAGAGAAAACTTGACCAGGTCCTGAAAGGATTCTCGGCATTTTCGACAGAAACTTGGCACACGGAATTATTACCTAGCCTATATGTATGTAATGGGATTCGAGCTGGACCAAAAGAGCTAGCAACGGGGCTCCATTGGTAGTCACTGCGCATCGCTGGCTCACTAACGACTATGAAACGCAAGCTATGCAGTCGCATCGTTACCAACAAAACGAACAGTCCCGACCAACATGGCTCTTTTCAACTGATGACGGGGTGCTTCTGTTCGGGGCGAAGTTTATGCTGTTCGTGCGAGATCTTTGTATCATCCTTGATTGCTTGCAGTTCAGGGAAGAGTTTGCCAAGTTTGATTATGTTTGTTTTCACACACAGGAGTAGCTACTGCATCCGGAGATACATGGAGGGAACAGCGCAAACTCATCCTGAACGTCTTTAGGAATTTCGGCGTCGGGCAGGCGTGCTTCGAGGATCAAATCGCCACAGAGGCTAATCACCTTACGGCCGAGATCAAAAAGCTGAAAGGAGAAGTCTTCAATCCTGTCCACCTCTTCGGCAACGCCGTGTCCAACGTTATTTCCTCAGTGGTCCTCGGCAGGCGCTACGAGTACAACGATGTGGAGTTCCAGCGTGTGCTAGCATCCATGGATCGAAGCATGGAGTTGATTGGTGCCGGCGCAGCCATGCAGTTCCTTCCCTTTGTGAACAGGCTGGGTTTCCTGCCGAGTATCAAGGAGATGACCGCCACCATGAAGTACGTGATGGACTTCGTCATGGGCATCGTGAAGAAACACCAGAGTGACTCCTACGTGGAGGAGTCGCGCGATCTGATGGACGTCTACCTCAGGGAGATGAAGAGCAAGGAGGAGCGAAACATCCCCACTAATCTCAGCGTCCTGAACCTCGTCATTGTCGTCTCGGATCTGTTCGTGGCGGGCACCGAGACCACGGCCAGCACGCTGCGCTGGGGTCTGCTGTTCATGATGCTCCACCCCGAGATCCAGGGCCGCGTCCAGATAGAACTGGACAGCGTGGTCGGACGGGAGCGGCTGCCGCAAATGTCCGACAGGCGCAACCTGCCCTACACCGAGGCCGTCATTTTGGAACTACAGAGGCGGGGTAACATCGTTCCCCTCGGCCTCCCGCACAAGGCTGCCGAAGACACGACCCTGGCGGGGTACACGGTGCCCAAAGGCAGCCTGGTTGTAGCCAATCACTGGGCGCTCAACATCGACCCCGAGCTCTTCCCAGATCCATGGGATTTCAACCCGGAGAGATTTCTAAACGAAGACGGCGAGGTGACGAAACCTGAGGAGTTAATTCCCTTTAGTACGGGTGAGTTACGCAAGAACTTCAGTTCACCAGATTTGAGACAAAGGTATATTTTCCTTTTTTCTACTACGAAAAGCATGTTGTTAATTAAACAGGGAAACTTATCGGTTTTTCCTCACGATATACAGAGACTTTTTTAAGAACTAGACCGTTTCCCGAGGCCAAAATAATTAGTTCCGGTATAGGTTGTTTATAGGATGTTATATCTCCGCACTTCGCAGTCCAAAGTTTAATATGCTGACTGATGTGCGGCTTGACATGGCTCAGAACTCGACGAGGGTGGGGCTTTTAAATGTTTCTATAGGGCAAAATGCTGAAATACAGTCGCCCAAATGTATTCAGGAGCATAACAAGTACGCGCTGAGTACTAATTTATCCGGTTCGTGCACTGCACATAGAGTTACATACATTGATCGCCGTTTACATGGAACCGGAAGTTAACGCGCAACTTCTGCGATCATCCAATTGGAGCCTGCGAATCATGGCACGTCCGCCTTTGTGACGAAGTCACTTATGAATCGGATGGTCTTTGCGTGCACGCAGAACGCGTGCAAGAACCCTCTTATAACCACCTGTCTTTCTTTTGCCGGCTGGGGGTGCACTTCAGCTCGGGGCGGATTATGAGGCATTTTGTCCGATGCCCAATGAAAACATAACAGCATAGCCACTCACGGATATAACGTATATCCGCACTTCAATGAACAAAGTACAGTATAAGAAAACTGCAGAGCACTGAAGATCAGCAATGTCGGGGCAAAGTAAGCAAAAACAGTGCTCACCGGTTTGCTAAATTGCTGAATTTTCCGGTCTTCATCGGAGCTGTGGGGGGACTAGTAGTTTTTCTGCATTCAAACCACTAGTCCCCCCAAAGCTCCGATGAAGGCCCAGTGGGGCCGAAAATTCGCACCTTGCAAACCGATGAGCACTGTTTTTTTTTCTTATTCGCACTGTAGGTCCGTTAACCAAAATCTCCAGTTCGAAAAGCAATGAGACCCTCTTGCGCATTCACTGAACGCTGAGAAACTGTGAAATAACTTCAATGTGCACCGTGATCAAGGGTTTCTCCCATAGCCAAATGACAACTATAAACCGATATGCACTATAGTGTTGATTGTCAGTGTTTCTGCGTATCATTTTGCAGGTCGTCGCATCTGCTTGGGAGAGCAACTGGCCAAGATGGAGCTCTTCATTTTCTTCACGCACCTTCTCCACCAGTTCACCTTCAGGAAGCCCGAGGGCTCGCCGCCCCTCAGCCTCAAGGGTCACCTGGGTATCACCCTCGCGCCTATGCCCTTCGAAGTGTGCGCCCTGCCGCGGTGATTTCAAATGAACGCAGAAAGCAAGGGGATGTAGCTTTCTCGAGATGTGAAAGAGGTGACGTCAGCGTTTCCTGAGATGAGTTTTTCCGGGCCATTTTAATGAGCCTTCACGAAGTTATAAATCGCCTAAATTATTAACTGAATGACGGTAATAGATGGTCGTGAACTCACCATCCAAATACTTTGGAACTTAAGTACTATAGAAATCATTTCCTGATCAATCGGGTTGCTGCCTCTGCCATCGACAACAGCAATATCAACCACACCGTAAATTTTACCATCACTTTACACACAATCAGGCTCGAAATTCTTGGTACTTTTATTTCCACTGAGATTCCAAGGAACTTAATGGGGGTGCACAGGCTCAAAGGTGTGTGCAGTGTGGAGACAGAACTGTGATAGGCCCCGGGACTGGGGTCTTTGGAGAGTCATAGCAGCCTGTCAGAAAGAGGAGATGGGGGTTGCTAAGCGACTAGTGGGAGTCACGGTCATCAAAGCAAGCACTATCAATCAATATGATGGTGCTAAGCCATGGCAGATTTGTGCATTATATGCGAATGTATGTGTACATGGACTTGAAAGGTGTGTGCATCAAGAACAACGGTTCAGTGGCATATGGGGGGGGTTGTCTCCCTGGAGACATATTGGCATTTTTTAAAGCAACTGAAAGCACCAAACTTTCGAACCGCTGCTATCACCTTTCTTTGGGATTTCTTTTCTGGATGATTTCTGATTTTTTTCGAAAGAAAAATCCCACTTTGCTCCCCCCATTCAAAACCTGGACAGGCCTACGCCACTGCAACAGTTTTAAGAAAGGTGGTTTCATAGATGAGAAGTAGAGTAAGGATTCAAAAAGGGAGTCACGCCTATGAAAACAAAAAAACTAAACAAGCGTTTTGCTTAGAGTTGCTTAGAGGTCTCACATGGCGGCCATCTTGGAGTTGTGCCTTTGTTTCACATGGATACGCTTAAGCAGCCCCTTGTACATATGTTCCTATAAATCAAAGTTCAACAAGAAAGTCTTCGAGTAGGTTGTTAAATACAAACAGTCTGCAGATCTGCAGTGGATGTGCAGTAAGTGAAGAAAACTTACTGTAGGTGACAGTCATCTCCCAGAAGGCATATTACTGTCCCAGAATGCATCGCGTCAATCCCAAGATGCACTGTAATAAAGGCTTATACGGTGATTTCCCGTAATACTACCATATTCAGCACGTATGTTTCACTCCCATTCGATGTATGGAAATTAACGACTTCGACCGTGCGTGGCGGTAATCGACCGGACCCTCGTGAACCATACGAAATTGTCCTTAGCAACTTGCCAATCCTCTGTTGCGCCTTCTACGGTTTTGAAAACTTCGTTTGCACAAAATTAACAAACGATCACATTGAAACTCCTTGTATGTGCTCTAGAAGGCTTGAACCGAATAAAACACTGCAGAATCATGAAAAGAAATGCTGCATAAATACGAAATTTAGCCTCATAGTGACCGTTGCCGTATGATAAACTATTTCTCTTTTCAATCGATCTCTTGCAAGACCTTGGTCTTTTTCCCACTTAATTTCTCAATTTTAGAAGTTTTTCCAGAATAACGAAACACTGCATACGACAGACCAGAATCTCAACTACACAATACAATCAGTTTTATCTAGCTAGATTTTTTTGTTTGACTTTCATGAGTTATTTTAGACACTTCTCCTCCGCGCGATCTATACGTGTTTCACATGCATGGAACCGATACAACCACGTACCGTGCACGTGACACTTAAATACACGCGTACACAGCTATGTACATGTACATGTACACTATACGTTACATGTACTGTATGTGTGGGTGTACATGTACACGTAGGCCTACATGGAAATAACGTGTCAGAGCCAGTGTTCATGCATGTTCATGTGGTTCATGCATGTATCACACATGTAAAACTGGGGAGATGTAACGTGAATTTATACAATCCCTGGCAATGTTATAATGACAGATAGACCTCGGTTTCAATAATAAACTTCACGTTAACTTACTGTACTTTTGTTTCCGTCATCGTTCCCAAGTCACTGAATTCGTAAGCTCGCAAGGTCGTAAGATTGTGCGGGATAAACGGAATCGGTGCTGAGTTGGATCTATATGCAAACGCGTCTGGTCGGGAAGAGAAAAAATCTAGCGCAAAACCGTCAGCAAATCTAAAACCTTCACATCTTTCTCCACCACAGCCCACATTTTAAAACATCAGGAAAATTTGAATTCTTTGTTTCGAGCCTTCAAAAATCGCATGAAACAAACTACAGCTTATACGTAAAGAGCTTTCCACAAAACTCGCTAGTTTTGAACACTCTGGTACTATTTCACAAAACCACGTTAGGAAAAGGCCTTATCTTACCATGGAAATATTTTGAGCAGGTATTTTTATTTCCAAAAAGTGAAAATAACACGTAAATTTCATGACATGAAGCAGCTGCTTGCCTGGCACGGATTTTTTTGGCCCTTATTACGTATGCAAATTACCCTAAAAATGGGACATGCGCAGTTAATAATTTCCCTCTGAAACATACGTGTCAGCGTGCTTGAAACAATAACAGTAGAAAAACTACAAAAAAAGGAAAATTCGTATAAAGTATGTGCAAATTGTACCATACCCATAAGCACATTATTCAGACCACTGGATCCAACGAATACATATAGATTGTCCACTGTCTAGCCCAAAGTTTGTTTTAAAAGTATCATTCTGGAAAGCAAATGTATTTTGTGCTCAGTTCACGCAAATAGCTCATTTCAACTCACCCCTGGATAAATCAAAGTAAAGGTCTCAAGATGTCAGGTGTAATCAGGACATTTTGACAATGCGTTTAACTTAATTGGGCAACTCGATACATTTATATTTTTATTGAGAGTAGGGGTGACATTCCTACCATATTCCAAACTCTCAAAACAAAATCCGTCTTGCACCATGACATTTGGCTACAGATACACCTTAAGATTTTAGTCTGATCAAGCAACAAACTCCTAAATCCAACATTTCCCAAATAATTTCAGAATTCCATCGTGTCCGATTTTAGTCCTTTCCTTTCCCCGTTTCATGAACCCACACAGTTCTAATATAAAATTTGTAGGTTTATGGAGCTACCCACTTGTCTTGAAATTTTGAATCCAAACTGTGCAGTGGTCGATAAATTGGGACGTGTTCTATAACTATTCGTTCTCAAGGTGAACGACCCCAAACTTAATGCACACTCTAATAAAGATCCATTTTCACCAAGCACAATCCCCTATCCCGCTGCACAAGAAATCGATGCAATATAAATCGGAAACTATTCTCTGTTATGCTTCCTATAATCTTGTGTGTATTTACACTTTGACTACCCATAATCGTTGTATGAATATGCTGATTAAACAATAAGTCACTTATGAATTTAAGCGGAATATTGTGCTGAAATTAGTTCTCACGCTAATTGTTTTGTCTTCTTTCGCCAGGCATGGATTTGGAGGTTCGGTAACGCTGTGATACATGGGCCTAAACCAATCATGACTTTTCCGAGACACCAACAACGCAGTTACTCATTAATGGCTGCAATTGAGAGGAATTTTTCTCCCGTGTACTATAGCTGATAGTTAGCAATGCTCGAGGCGCTCTTTGGGTATTGAAATGTCAATGGCGTACGTGTTCCCATTGCTTCGGCATATTATGCCACCGTCAAAGCCAAGTCTCCAATAAAAGATTAAAGTTCAAACTCATTAAACATTTTTTCGGCGATGTGTTCATTACACGCACGGCCATGTTTGTTGTGGTCTGCGAGGGGATATATGAAAATTGAAAGCGGCAGGAAAATAGGCTGGCATCCTCTTTTTTATGGCTCTGGAATGGGCATATTAATTATTATGTTGGCTTCATGGAATTCGGTCTGACATATCAGTCTCACAAATGATATGTTTTAAGTGAATTACAAATGTTTTTAGCTGAACGGCTCATGTACCATCAAGTTGGATGTTGTTATCCATCACCTGTTTTTGTTTTATTCAAAATTAACGCATTAGATATTTTTTTCTGAAGGAGAAGTTGTAGTTAAAAGTTAATAAAAGAATATGATGATCCGTATTGCGTTATTTTGCCATTAGATTTAACTAATTTTTACAAGGCTATGTGTAGCAGCCTTTGTCGTCAGGGAGAATTCAGTGACTTAATGCATGTACTCAAAAGTTGTGATCAAAAAATCCATCCGAAATTAACGGGTCGGCCTGTGTCTGAACGGTTGGGTGCAGTCTAGCGGAGTTGGGCCATTTGAATATGGAGCTCATGCGTCGACCCTATCTCTCTCTTTTTTAACGCTGAGGGGGTAGTTTGTGCAAGGGTGGCTTTTCTTCGGTGCTTCCAACATGTGGGTCAGGGTGCCTGGCGATGCCTGACTCTCTGTTCCCCGCAAAGGTTTTCAGTACTAATTTAATATTACCCTTGGTGCCTGCATACGATCAGAAAAGGACCATGGTCATACTGAGACATTATGCACAAATAATATTACAGTAATGGCGAAAGTGGTATGAAAAAAAGATTATCCGGAAAAAAAATGTTCGTCTGTTGACATGTGAAAGGGTAACAGAAGACCTACATACCTTTACAGGTTTCAACAGAGGCCTAAACAGGGTTTTTAATATTGGGGATTTCTGTCTTGCAATGTATTATTAACTATTAGGGATTCACATTTTAAAGCTGTCCCATAATATAATGCTGATCGTTGTCTTCAGTGTGTACATGGTGTCAGCCTTTCTATCGCCCTCTGTTGACAGAATGGTTAATTATTGGAGGGTGTCTCTGGGATGGTTTCCTGTCGTATCAATAATGTGCGAAAGGTAGTCGCCGTAAAGTTTAAATAATTGAATCTGGGATGCCCCTTACATTTGTAAATGCGGTGTGCTCACAGTCGTTATTTAGTGAACAGTCATTAGAATCAAACTTGGGTAAAAGAGGAGATTTATACTGAGACATTTTTAATGTGATACATATACGAAAATCTACAAAGAGAAGCAGCTTACACACGCACAATATTCGTGAAAATTGACGACAGCACCCGAAAATAAATGACGATGGGTTGGAAAATTTTAACCAGTTTACGGAAATGTTCTGAAACAGGAGAGATGTTTTAGTTATGTGACCATGGCGATTGCTGGAACTAAAGATCTCTCGAAGCAGTTTATATCTTTGGGTTTTCGTTTACATCCAAACGCGCCGGTGACGTCTTATTTCTTTGAGCTCAAAGTTTGTTCAACCTGAGTGGCCTGGATCAAACATCCTCTCGCGTGCGCACAAATTCGGGAGTTATATTATACGAATTACCTCTGGCATGGTTTTTTGGACCATTTTCTAAGTAATTAAAAACGAACCTTTTCAAAGATAGCACATTCTAAACAACAATTATCTAACTGGAGCTCACAAAAATTAGCCAACAGTCCACCTCGGAGACCTTGGCTTAAAGTCATGGTTGTGAGTTTAAACGGCATGCTTCAGTTTTAAAGAAGTCAATCTTCGCCATTGCAACCGACATATTTTGTAAATTGGCCCAGCATTTTGCAACTATAATAGTGTCAAATTTAATTAATGTCTGTGTTGGCATGCGTCAAAGGTAGGAATCCCAGCCATGCCTAAAGTATGGTCCTCGAGCTGAACAAAGAGAGGGCGCTATTTTCTTAGGTTCATGAACGGCTAGGCAGTGCACACAACGGTCGCACCGCTACCAACGAAATAAAAACTCTCGACCATTCAACCGATGACAGGGTGCTTCCGCTCGAGGTGGATACCTTTGTGTGTTGATTGAACATTCAGTTTACCCGATTTTTAGACTCCACCCGTAACATTTTCCAGGGTTTTCCTCCTACTTCTAAATCTGACCAAAGCTCCATTTTCGTCACTGGCTTGCGAGCCATAGTGCCATACGTTTTTTTGAAGGGAATCCACGGTTTCGTTATTGGAAATAAATTCTATTGGCACGATTCTTCAACATTTCACGAAGCTTAGTATAAGTCGTGTGGTACTTGGTGAAAATGGTGACGTAGTGAACAGTTTTTAAAAGCGACCCGATGCACTATAGTTATCTTGGGAACGAGCAACAGTGACCACCCCCAGCATATATTGTTGTGGAAAAATATTGTAACAAACGCGATATGGGGGACAATTTAACCCCTCCTACCAAAAGTGCATAAAGAGCCTCTAAATTTAGCCACACCCCATCAGCAAAGATTATAGAAAGAGACGTGCAAATTTGTGACGACGCCAAAAAATGTTGGCTCCCAAAAATTTGATTCTGGATTCATCCCTGTCCGAAGGCCACTCGGTGTAAGTTAACGCTACCTATATGTTTGAGTATACAAACCAACGTCGTCTGTTAAACCGGGCAATACCACGAAAGTGTGTACCAAGAATAACTTTTTCGATTTGCGTTGAGGATTTGCGCGGTACCAAACATCAGCAACAGTTCATCAAATATCTTTGGAGTTATTAAGTACAGTGCTAGGCTAGAAAATTGGGCATTAGATAGCTTGTGTTTCAATTATCAAGCAAGGAAAAATTGCATCGTCATAGAGACCCTATCACAAAGTGACAAGCAAGGTATGTGGCATTACGGACTGATACCCTCCACGTCGAGGCACTAAAAGCCTCAGTCAGTCACACGTGTAATTGGTCTAATGGTGGTGAATACGATATATGAGACACTCTGATACTAAAGCCTTACAGAAAAAGTACTGTGCGTTTATCTTCTCCTTCGGCGTTGATGAATCTATTGTCGTGGTCACGTAGACCCCGGAAGAGAGTCGGGGGTTGTGTCGACTCTATTTGGGTAAGAGGTAAATTTCGCAGCGGTTTATTCGCTGAAACGACAAAGTGATTAAAAAGGTTGTCACCATCCTTACAAGTCGATCGTAATTCGTTGATGAATTGCTTTTCCATTAGTGCATGTTCAGCCGTTGTCACCGAGGGAATCGATTCCAGAAAACTGATGAGGGTGGCACAGTCAGATAGGTGCAACGGACCCTGTGAGCTTGTACAGGCATTGGCGTAAGCAGCACGGAACACGCTTTGACACGATATATGGGCTGTTACCTTCACAAATTGTGCATAGGTTTCGTCTGGCGAATCTGTCTCTTGTAATCGGCGTTCGGAATTAACGCCAAGAAATCTTAACCCTGTGATAGACCTCTTGATCAGCAAATACCTTCAGTTGACAGAATGGAAGTCACGCCAATGCCCCAAACTTTTCAGACATGGCGCATTGTGATTATTATCATTCTGACAAGCGGCATTATAGTGAGCAATGTCTTCTGTATTGTCGTCATGTGGCGGGCTGCTGATATCAAGAAAGTGACCCGTATCTTTGTGGTTTCCATGTCAGTTGCCGATCTTGGAATTGGCTTTTTCACGCTCCCGGTACAGCTGCTGTCGCTGGTTGTCGATATGACGGACACGTCCCAACAGTCTCTCTGTGTGGTCCACGTCATACTCTACACGCTGTTTTCTGGAACGTCTCTTCTCAACGTGCTCCTGATCACAGTGGAGCGGTACGTGGCCATCGAGTTCCCATTCCGGCACCGGTCTCTGGTCACGGTGCGACGGGCCTACATCGCGATGGCCTCTGTCTGGCTGATATGCGGGGCGAATGCCGCCATTTCGGGCACGCTAGCTGGCATGACGGATTTCTTTCACGACGAACTCGGGATTTGCCTGTCCTTCAGCGTCAATACTACCAACCACTTCGAGTGGCTCCAGGTCTGTGCTTACCTATTTATCCCTCTGTTCACCATCGTGGCCATTTACACTCGCATCCTCGTCCTTGTCCGACGTCACGTTGTCCGCCAGTTGACGATGGTCCGTCTGAGCAGCCTTCCACTCGCCAGCGGCAGGCGCGCAAATCAACCTACCAAAAATGGCCGTCACGTCTGCAAAAGCCGATCTCTGGCTTTGCGCAGGAAGTCCCTGTGTACATTCCTGATGGTGGTGTCCGTGTATGTGGTCACGTTCATTCCAGCATCTATCGTCTTGATCCTAGCAATCACTGGCCGGCCTGTGTCCACCTATGTGCTGGAGGTAGCCAAATTTAGCGTGTACTGCTACAGTTGGCTGAACGTGGTGGTGTACTCACTTAGAGACAAAGCCTTCAGAGAAGCAGCAAGAACCATCTTTTGCAGACAATGAAGAGGGCAAGAGTTTTATCCATCAGAACAGTCAAAATCCATTAGAGTATCCTTGGTCATGGTTTTCTTGGCCGTAAGTACACGAGGTAAAATTTAAATGAAAAAATACCTTGATTTGATGAAATACTGAGCAAAAGGTTCTAAATGTTTCTCACAATTGATATTTGCACGAGCTCTCTGAAATGTGCCTTTTCAGAATTTCCAATACGGTACCCGATGGGTTATATGTGAAACTCTGCAATCACACAGCAGTCATCTCAGATCTGACTTTGTTCTTTGTCAGTAAGTGCACACAGCCATGAGTAATCCTGCGGAACAGAATGGACGCGCCCCAAAGATGGCTACCGATGTGTCGCCATGCGGGCCGTATTTGCAGATAACTTATAGTTGCTCGTGCCCCATATCTATTCTTCTAGAATGCCATAAACGTCGATAGGCCCTAAATGAACTCTGAAATCCCTTTACATTTTGGGAGGGGATTTATGTCGAATGCTTGACAGGGAGGATGAATCATGATGTTGATGGTAACATAAGCGAATCCCTTTGGGATTCACACATCTAGGATTGTGTATCGAGAGTAAACTTTACAATTACTGTTTTGAATCAAGAACATTACTCCTAATTATGGACTTGAATGCAGACAACTGCTCATCTGAATATAGCACTTTTTTCAGGGCAATTGGTTCCCGCGTATCGTCATACTATACCCAAAGGATGTTGGTGTAAACTGGCGGAATGTCATTGTGTATATAGCTGTCGTCGTGTGCCGAGGGTTCTTTCTGCCCTGTGATTAATTGTCGAAGCTTGATTAATTTGTCGACAGCCAAATTAAATGTTATGAGGCTTGTGATATATGACTAAAGTTTATAAAAAAAGATGACGTTTCAAAACTTTCGCACCAAACAAATTGATTGCCTTGGGTTGGATTTAAAACAGAAAGAGCTTCATGGTAATGACTAGTTTTAACACAGATCAACATAGGCGTGGCCCCCCTGTCGCCTTGCTTTTTCAGCCGACGGGAACGAGTGAATTAATTCTTCTCCTATCAGCGCCACTGCTACAGATAAGGAATCAAGCTCCTAGCAGAGCTGCATAATATATAGAGAGAGTAGCGCCAGCTTCAAACTTTGGAACCAAAATGGCTGTTCACAATGAATAAAATTTTGAGCAGTACGACAAACAGCTATTGTGTGCTAATTGTCCATGTGCACTGACGCATAATCCACCATTTTGGTTCCAACAATTGAGACACTCATGTCGCAACTCTCTCTAGAAACAACTCAGGCTCCACAGATGTCCGTGTCGGGCTCCTAGTAAAGTATATTGCCCTCATGCGTCGCGCTACCATCGAGTATAACTTTCATGACATTTTGTGTATGCTTCTCCCAATCAGAGGAAAGCAATGCAATTGATTACTTCCACTGTAGTGAATACCGGTGGCAAAATTACCCTGCATGATTATAACAGCTGAGTTGAGATATCCAAATGTATATCACTTTTCCATGGACAGGTTTGCAATGTTGATCTCCATCGAGTAAAAGGTTCCCCGCGAACAGGCAACGACGTTAGCGGCGGCAAGCTAGTAGCATGGTATAATAAAGGACTCGATTTCAACGTCAGTATTACAGAAACTGTCATGACTGATTATACGAGCGTTAGTCATCTATGGTTTTGCCATTTTGCACCGACCCCTCTTACCTCTAGCGACGCTTATGCCATTTCTGGCAACGAATATTATTATTTACGAGATAAAAGAAATTCATGTAATGAGACTTGATTCGCAATATTTCTTGGCAGGAGTTCATTTGTTCAGTTAGTATTCTACATCTTGTGTATTTCCATAACATTCCAGTCGGCCCCAGATAATTATAGTAGTCCCATGAATATTTGGTGGCAAGCCTCATGTCACTTTAAATTTTATATATTTCAATAAAGAGTACGGCGTTACACCACACAGCTAAGCTTATGTTGCCAGTTTTCGAGGCTACTTCGTCATTCTGGCATCTCTCAATTGTAAAGGTAGATGCTCGTCGCCGATAATCACACGAAATCGTGGCTGTACAGAAAGGGACATCACCATGAGACGCACACAGGTGGTACACCTGAATTACAGAGTGTTGAACAAAGCACAGACATTATAGTTACGAGTCTACAAAATCGACTTACAGTGAGCACGACCTGTCGCCTCAGCAAAACAAACCCCAATAAAGGCTAGTCATAATGTAACACTTTAAAATCAGTCATATTCCTGCGCTTTAATATCCATTTGTATTCTGTATCAAATCTGGATAAGTTATATGCCGACTGCAAGTGAGAGCTTGAGAGCTATGGGTAACATGATTTGAAAAAACTCCCAATATAGCCCATCCTTCTGTAGAGTGGCCATTTTGAAACACGAAACGAGGAGTGCAGCAACAGTAGACTGAAGTGCAGCGCCCTTAGAACGAGGAACTCACAACTCTCACAGGTGTTTAAGGTTGCGCAGAAAAATGATGATCGACCTAGTCGTCTTTCATATTCTTTTATTAAAGTTTTGGTGGGTTGACCGATGACTTTTTGAGATATTCTCACCCAAAGTATGATCACCCCTAAAACAAAGGATATTTCCCAACTGGGAAAACTTACCGTTTCGAAATGCAAAATGGTTCAAAAGTACCACTTTCTGACCAGATTGCATCCAAATTGCTCAGAATTGGAAGCCCAAAGTCCAGGCCAGAGGTTTAGTGCGATATTTCTTCAATTCCCCAATTCCATGACTCTCAGAACTTTCTAATAATCTCTCCAGTGTATTACTTTTATGAATGAACTTGGCGGACAGATTTCTGGCCTAATTACATAGGTGCACCCTGCAGGTTGCAGGCCAATAAATAGGCCCAACATTGCCTGCGCGGACCAAATCACGATTTTTTGGCTGACAAAAATTATCTGCTGTTAGAGCATTTTTTGCCACGTGGACTGGACAGTTTGTAAAGGAGGCGGATTGCATCTACCAACAGGACTGCCAGCTTATATTTCTGAAAGTATCGGACCAAACAGGGTCCTCCAAATTGCTCTATTTTATACAATGGAGTGTAGGCATTGATTTTCAAAATGGCGATGGGCCTTTTGACTGTTTTGAGGGTTGATTGTCTGTGGAAAGAAATGTTGTAACGCAATGCAGTATCAATACCGGTTTTTCGGATTGTAAGTGAACCATTGGTGGTTCCCGGCTGCTATATGTCTGTTTGTATAATTATTTCAGTGTACCAATTAAGCGTATCAGTCCCTATAAAGACGCGCAGCAGGCGTGACTCGCTCTCTTTTCCCACCTGGTGGTCGACCTGAGTAAACTGGTGTTTTTGACGATCTAATTGTGTGTAAGCGTGGAAAAGAGGCACTGTACTCAAGTGTGAGATTGGCATAGTAATGTAAATAATCAAGACATAAATCACCTTACTGATCACCAATCCAATTGTCGCATTGATAGTAAGTCAATATTGATGACTGTCCATTTCGAATCCTGAAAGAATCAGAAATTTACATGTAATTTCAAAACGTTGTTGTGCCGGAGAACAATATAGTTGTGACTTAGATGAAGCGCCTCTGTGAAGGCGCTTGTTGTTGTGAAAACGGAAGAAGTGTGGCCCTGCATCAACTGCACCTGCCCAGTCGTTATATATTGTCCCCGTTCGTCGAGGCTAAAACTGACCCTTGGGTTTGGTTGCCACGAGTGGTGTGCTACGGGCCAGGTGGTTAACTGCCGCCAAAACGAATCGGCGTTACTGGCCTTCTAAAGCTAGACCGCTCGCTGACGTGGGCTGGCCCGACCGGGTAGCAGACTACAAGGACGAAGGCGAGACCGCCACAGTATCTTCAAACCTCATCGGTTATTAAGCCACTGAAACTTGAAAGGAAAATGAAAGATCAGGAAATGAGCTTTAATTTCATATGTGTTTTGAACACCTGAAAAACTTGTAGTTTCCTGATTTTTTTAAGTGGGGGTATTTATCACTGGTGTTTATGGCAGCTTATGTACTGATCTTCAACCTGCAGGGAACCTATTAGTGGGCCCTCATGTGACTCGTCTTGACCAGGTTGAAAACATACCTTGTGAGGGCGCACTGCCACGGACAAACAGCGATCGGCCGCGACTCATTAGAACTTTGTTAAAGGATCGCAGTCAACCGAGTTCTAAGCTTTGCTTTGCACTCATGTGCTTGCTACTCTGACAAACTTGGAGCAAGGTGGCAACAATCAATTTGATTTGTGGTTGATCTTTGACGTGCCTTGCTTCTGAACATAAATTCCAAGGTGCGAGAGTAATTGAACTGTGGTCGGTCTTTGACAACTCGATCACGTCTCCTCAGCCCCGTCTCCTCACAATTCAGTAAGAAGGGATTTTTTTCCTTCCTTGATATCAGCGCGCAAGTGTACGCAAATTGAAAATGGCTTCTATTGAATTATTCCCTCCCTGTATTTGATTTGTACCCGACTAATGTACACTGCGACCAACAAAGGCTTAGCAAGGATAGGTACTTGTGTTTAATTCGCCTCCCGTTGAAAAGTATTCCATTGCCAATGGCCTGACAAAAAATTAAAATATTGAGCATCCAAATCACCAGGGCTAATCGCACTCGCTGAACCGCAGCTGTATCGGTCCCTATAGGGACGGGGACCAGACCAAGATTTGTCTAGATAGCGCCATTTAGACTTCCTGGTCATAGGTGCTGTTTTGCGCTGATGTCGGTCGATCGTTTCTCAAACGACGGGAGACGGGACAGGGAGGGGGATGGGGTGGCAAATGCCAGCACACATTACTACCTCCGTGGAGACACTGAGTCAGCGCAAAGTGAGGTAAGGGTGTGGTGAGTAATTCCCTGCACCCTCTACCGATCGTCGAAACCCATACTGCAAAGGGAAATACCAATGCTGCCAACTTGCAGTTTAGAGAGGGCCCGAAGCCAGTAAAGTTTTTAAGTTTTTAACCTCAACAGTAGCATTCGTTCCATGAGAGTTTTGAAC